GGATTACGATTCGACGGGGTTATAATCATAATAATAACAAAGTCTATCTCCGAAGGGCGAACTCACTGAATGTTAGTCACGGAAGCAGAGGAAAATCCAACTCCAACCGCCATCAGTATACTAATATACAATATTATAATATAATCTGGGTGATCGACAAAGTATCCTGCATGTCTTGGATAACAATTTTAGACCAAAATATCCAGCAGTATACTAGTTTTAAATCCATCAATGTTTTTTTTATCAAAGTCAAACTCTCATCAGTGATAGTTTGTGATATTGTATATGATGAGTGGAGTGCTCAGGAGAATTTTGTACATGGGTGAGGAGGGGTCGGGGGGAATGTGATAAAATAATTTATGTAAATAATATATAATATAATAAATTATTTGTACTACATTTAACCAGCTCGGCTATCCAGTTGTATTTCTTACATATGTTTTGTAACGTTTAAGTGTAGAAAAACGTGCCAAGTCCGATCACGTTTAAGGAATAATAAATAAAAAAATGCCCATAACGGTATATATCTCTCATTAAAGCCTCCCTCTCCTGCGCACGCCGCTTATCATGATTATTTTGTGGTCTATGACAGCTTAACTAAAAATTCCATTTAATTTTTATAGAGACTAAAAGATTCCATCGTTTTGATGTATACATTTCATGGTTTTCAAATAGGAAAACGGGCGATAAAGTTATCAAACAGAATATAGGCACAAAATCAAAAGCGGATACATATGATCAGCCAATCTCATTCTGTTACACCTCATGGTCCTAATACTGTTGAATTTTCCATATTATCTTCTCAACTTTTCATTTGTCCATATTTTAAATTTACCTTATTCATTGTTTTTTGGTTCGAACGTTTTCCTATGTATTTTCGTTTTGAAAACACCCAATAGTTCTTATCCATTTTAGTGGCTCCCACGACTCGCACGCGTATAATGCTATGGGCCTAATTACAAATTTGTAGTTTGTACAGTGTTATCTTTGATGTTCTTGAAAGTAGATTTAATTTGAACAGTGTTGACAGTCCAAAATAGCATCTGTTTGCTGTTATCAATCTTTCTTTTCTTTTTTCACTATGTTTTGGGTTTTCATTCACCCAAGGTATTTTACATACACTACCTTTTCAAATAAGAAACCTTTTAATTCTAATTTTCTCACTGAATGACGTTGTCTGGATATTAAAAGGTATTATTTTTCTATTATTTTATGTTGAGGACAATTCTTTCTCTACCCTTGTTAACTCTTTTGAGGATTGTTTAAGGTTTTTCTCGTTTTCTATATTCGCTGTCTCTATAATACAAAATATTTTTGATAAAATAAATATTTGATAAATATTATTAGATAAGCGTTAGGTGAGTCTAAATTCCAAATAGTATGTTATGCCACATGGTAATGGCGCAAAAAACGTCATCGCAGTCGTCGAAAACGAGAGCCACGCGCCTACGCATGCACATCACCATAATTAATTATAATATATGACATTATTTACTACATAGTTTGTACACATCTCCATGTGATCAGGCATACCTCAGGAAAACGCAAAATGTAATAATCCCTTATTGACGAGACGTGTACACATTGCGAATACAATTGAAGATTCTAAATGGTTCCCTCGTTTTGGCTGTTTGGCTCAACGAGTAGGTTTTTCTATAATATAGACATCTGCAGACATATATTTCTATAAATGTTATACGTACACAGCCGTCGCTCAAAGCCTTTGCAAACACGACCGTAGTAATATCTACGCGTGTTTATACAAAACCCATCAATCCGTAGAACATTTCCGCTTGATTTATTGTTCCGTCCCAGAAGCGCTCAAAAATCATATACACTTATATATATATATATAAGTATTATATATATATATATTATTATTATTATTATTATTATTATATCCTCTCGTCCTTTGTATACAGGATGGGCTCAAGCGTTTCCCCGTTTTCCCGTGTCGGTTTAACAGCGGAAGGACGTGGCAAAGCACGGCGGGTCGTCCTGTATATATTATTATATACTGTACGTCATCATATGCTAGCGGTCGAATCAAATCATAATTTTTCAAATTATCCTGTATAACTGCAATCGCAGCTGTTTCAGTGTTATGATTAACATAATTTATCAATCTGCGACAACTGTTGTGTACCTACGTATATCCACTATAATTTATAATGCCCTGTAGACAACGTACACAAAAGTACAATAGTGCAGTTACATTGTGCACGCATGTATGGTATGTATGTATGTATGTATGTGTGTATGTATGTATGTATATAGATATGTATATATGTATATATGTACCTATGATATATTATATAATATGGTCCTCGTCGCAGCGGCGTGCGCGTGTTGTGTAGGCAGAACGTATTTTATTTCGAGCGGGGATGCGGTTTTCCACAGAGACATCGAAAAGGATGATTAACTATACTATACATATATATTTTATCATGTGCACATTTTACGATGCCATCAGAATAATATACGCGTCGCTGTGAATGGGATTTGTCGTAGTTCACTGGAACGAAAGAATCGTGGGCTCGTATAGCTTTATATTTATTTTATATTATGCGATCGATTCGGAATAATAATAAAAAAAAAAAAAAACTAAAATTTATAGAACGAGCGATACGTATATAGATGGGCAATTCGAATAAAAAAGGAGACGGATGTCACACCTGTCGTATTTCGTATTCTGAGTGAAGGTAAAATCGGGAGTTTTATAAGTATAAATTATATCATCTTATTCAGTGAGCAATAAATTATGGTAGTTACTGGCGGAGTAGGAGGAGCGGGGTGCTCATAAAGTTTTAAGTTGTCCTCCGTGTAATATTATGTAATTATATATGGACTCGAATATTTTAGAAGAAGTCATTTTCCGATTTATGAAAGTAGGTAGTTTTTGGGACGAAAAACTACAGAAAACCTATTCAAACAGCTTCGGTTTTCAAACTAAAAATGTCTGCAAAGTTTATCTACATAATGTGTATTATTTTTTTAACTAATCTCAGAATCGTCTGGAGAACTTTGCTCCCGCAACGATCGATGACCTATAAATACGTATTATTATTGTATCGCCGCTTTCGAATAATTTAAAATCACAACACGCCGCACGCTAACGACACGCGTCCTGTAGACGTGAGCTAAGAGAAATGATGTATAATATTTTATATATTAGTGTCTTGTCCGATCTTTTTTTGTTTCTTCAATCGTTCGTATTTTTCGCACTCTCGACAAAGTTTTCTGTTCGATAATCGTCTTACGAGTTGCTATCATGCGGCTCACAGGCTTCTACACGAAAATGCATTGTTCCGGTAGTGAGGCAGAGCTCGGTAACGCCGAGAGGAAGCGATGAGGCCGAAGCGGGGTAGACATTTGCGGACAGGAAGGCAGCCGACCGAGGCACCTTCGAGACTTCATAAATGATTTTATGTAGTATTTTGCATTCACTGATTCACCTGCAGTTGTTTCGAACATCGTACACGAGGGAACGCATCTAAGTACGCGAACTTTTTTCATTTTTTTTTTTTTTTACGAAAGCTATACCACTAAGCTGAGGTTTATATCAGACAACTCAGACATGTCGAAATTCGTGTGTGTTTATTTATCTTTTCAAAAAGAAAAGAAAGAAAATAGAAACTCTATTTATAGTTGTATATTACATGTATGTACGATTTGTTTGTTTTCGATTTTGTTTTAAACCGTTTATCTATATATTAACAAAAGACAATGTGTGTGTGTGTAAGCGGTCTACGGCTAAGTATATTGCACTATAACTATTGGTTCTGAAATTTGGTACATAGGTATATATATATATTATATATATATCTTATATCTGAGGATATACATCTAGAAGCCTTTTTTTAAATTGTACATTTTTAAGGGAGGCTTATTTGTTGATCCCGAAAAACGAATAATTTTTTTCGCTTGTAAGTACAGGGTTGCCATTGATAACAGAAAATAAAATAATTAGTAAAATTGTTCATAATTTTAAACTCGTATTTGGTCGAAATCAACCAAATGACTGTGTTAAGTGTAATTTACTTTTAACGGAGACGTGGTAAATCCACTGAAGCTACCTAATTTGTCACGAGCAACGTTGTGCAGGATCTGCCAGCTACAGTACTTTTTAGATTTTAATAACATAACCATAAAAATACGACGATAAGTTTTTGAAAATCGTTTCACTGCTCGTATATATTTTATTGTGTCGTAACGATTACTTCGACTATAATACAGGAATATCGGGAATAGTTGAAAATCTCACACATCTCTCTCTCTCTCTCTCTCTCTCTCTATCACTCTCCGAGGCGGTCGTCCAGGGCACGAAGGGTGGAAAGCCGACTCTCGCAGAGACCAGTTTAATACAATGATTACAATAATATGACGGAAACGTTCATATAGAATCTATATTATAGATGGACACGTTCGTTATATAGGTGCGAGCACAGGGGTCGCCGGCTCCACTCACCCATATAATATTATATAATATCAACACACACACACACACACACACACACACACACACACACACACACACACACACACACTCCCGGGTCGTACGGTATACATTATATTATTATTATGTACACACGACGGCCGGACAAACGATAAAACAGATAACGTAAACCGCCACCGCCACCGTAGCCGTCGCCGCGTCAGGTTTTTATTGATCACTGACGGCGGCGGCGGCGGCGTTGGCGGGCGCACATGGCGTGTGCGTTTTACTTATTAACTGTTGAGTCCCGCACACACACGTGCACGCGCACACGCACGCACACACTCGCACACTCACGCACACTCGCCGCACACTCGCGCACACCGAGTCTCCACATGTAAGGTACACACGCTCGCGGCGCGCACATTATAATGCATAATACGCAAACCGCACGCAAAGGCCTCGCGGAGGTTACGCGCGAAAGGCAGCGCGGTGGCGGCGGCGGCGTAAGTGGCGCGACGCGACGGTTTCGCGCGGCGTGTACGCCAAAATCGCCGCGCCGGCGTCACAGCACAGTCGCGCGCGCCGCAGTGCCTTTGCCACGCGAAATCCGCCGCCGCCGTCGCCGCCGACTTCAGTACCGTTATCGCCGCCGCCGGACGCAGTCGTGGTCGCAGTGTGAGCGCCGCAGCGCCGTGTCCCCTCGACTGCGTACACGCGTACTCCGATATTATAATCGCACGACATAATAATAGTATACGACAAAATCACAGTTCGAATTACGATATTATAATATAGTTGCCGACCTCACGACGACAATAATATTATTATTATTATTATTATTATTATGAAATGCTCTCGGCCAACAGCATCACGTCATTCGTCACCGCTCTCATCTGCACCCTGTCCTGCATAGCCGACGCCAGTAAGCCACCATAATATTATATTGTATTCACACACACTCACATACCTACCCGAGTACCTATAGTTTTATATACGTATGACTCGTAAGTCCCCGACCGTGATTTGATGATACGAAATTATATTGTGGTATTGGTTTGGTCGCGTGATATTTTAAAATCCGCACCATTGATTTGTTAATTAATGTTATAATCGGTCAAACGCATATTACACGCGATATTATGTATAGATACAGTTGAACACCTATCAAAACCCGGGTCGTTTTACTGCTCTTAGGTCGTGGGTATCCTACCCACCCACTTTGTCGCTCACGCTATGATATTATATACATAGGTAGGTAACCTATTAATATAACGATTTGCATCCTCAAACGCGGAAAACGAAATTTTCTAATCATTTCACTACCTATTAGCATCTAGGTGGGATAGTTTAGTGTTTATAATTGTATTTGGAACAGCGTTGTAATATTAATCACATACGATTATTATTTACGCAATGACAAAACGTCTTTGATTCCTATTTGAATAACGAGCGAATATTGTCACTTCGGAGACGTCGCATTGTTCTTACTGCAGGAGTAATGTATTTGGCTGTCATGTTGATAGTAATTATCATTCGTTTCAAAATAAAATATAGCTTACAAAATAATATAATATACAACTCTGAAAATGGATTATTATTTCCTGAGACTTTGGTTGTTCTAGCAGTTGTGTCGTTATTTTTTCATGGTTGTGAATTTTAATGCCACTTGTATTCCCAGGCGAATAAAAAAAAGAAATACCCGGTCGTCGTAATTTTAAGTTATATTAATATATTTTACCGTTTCCCCTCTTTTTTTATTATTATTATTATTTAATTTGCTCGCCGTCGTATAGCAGGTAAACACTTAAATTGTTATCATGGAATGTAATACGTCGTCCGCTAGTCGAAAACTCAAATTTATGAAACGGATAACAAAAATAATTATATACACACACCAAATTGTACTAATAATAATGTATCGATCTACTATTTCCGTCGGCACGATCCGTAAAACAACAATAACATAGTAATATATCAACTGTTTTCGAACGAGCTACAACAGGACACGCGTATACATTCGAATCCGTCAGTATTGCGTTCATGCCAGTACGTAATCGTATTTGTTGCCAAGACCTTAACCCTTGTCCGACAACGTGGACCTTTTTTTTCACTTTGTAATTTAAATGTACTTTTAAATGTACATTTATTTTTTGTTTGTTTTTTTTAACACCCGATATTATTACGCGAGCGGTCCGAAAATAGAAAACCAAATTTCACTATACCTATTCTCCGAATTCGTGTTACGGCGACGGCGGGGTGGAGGTACAACATTTTGTCGAGGTTGATGTAAATATTTTGGCATGTTCTGAACGCGCAACACCTGCTGCGAAAGCGGTAGTCGGGAAGGTAATTAAAACGGACTGCTGTTGCAGATATAACCCGTAAATATCTAAAGATCGACCTAGGGGTAAGATTACATTTTTTTCAAATACAGTTTTCGATACGGATGGCTCCCCTTCGTCCAAGCCCACATCAATCGATTTTAATTTTAATGACATTATTCGATGCCACTGTTTAATTTAATGCTAGTTTGGCGATTACATCGTTGTGGCCTATAACGGTACAGTAATAATAATGTCTACACAAAAATAACCATACGCGTAACTCCTACACATTATATATATATAATGAGTGAGGGGCGATCCACTCATCGACCTCTCCTTCGAAAAAGTCTTCACTGTTGGGTACAACGCAAATAAAATCCGGTATTCCTGTTAAAACTACTATTAAATAAAATATATTACACCGAAGACGATTAATAGTACGAAACAAATAATGTGTCAACGTGGTTCTATTATATTGTGGTTGTCGTGCAATCTGCACAATTCGGTACAAATCGCTTCATATGAGACAAATGCCACGTCTAATCAGTCAATTCCACCACCAAACGGAAAATAAAATATGCCTATTATTAATACTTACGAGTTAACGACATGAAAATAATTTTGCTGTCATTCTTCGTTTTTTTAATTTTTAGCCAACCCTTGTGTGTTTTTTACATTTTAAACGGATGCAGTTGCATGGTTGTAATTTATTTATACTATCCGTGATCGTATGCATGATGAGTTGTAAATCTTTTTAAATTATGTATACCGAATGTTAAACAATAAAAAAAAACGATCCCCTTGTTAGGATATCAGTGACGGGATGAAAATAAATGTGTACAATTCGGGATAATAACATTAAATCACCGAGGGATAAACAAAACGCGTGAAATCGGTCGATGCTCCTTGTGTGGTATGAATCGTCCGGTAAAAAAGTCCAACCCGACGGATATGGACAGGTATAATATGTTATGCCGCCGATTCAAATTCAACTATTAAAATAATTTGAAAATAACGTAAGTCAACACCGTTTTGCTGACGGGCAGACATTCGAAATAGGGTGGTCATAAAAATACTATCATAATTACTATATTGAAACACAATATTATCGTGGGCTTAATTATTCAAAAATACACTTAATTAATTATTTCGCATTAATAGTCAAGCACGTGTACTGTGGGACCGTATAACAGTATTGTTAAGATTTCTAAACAAACTCTGTACCACTCGTTGTCGAAGTGATGACTAAATATGCAGCAGGAAATATATCATAGTATCAAACTATATTATGTCACTATGTCAGTGGCGTATTTGTTAGGGAGGGGGGATTTTTCCCCAGACCTAGTGCTTTTTTTACACTAATGTCCATGATGGTGTATAAATATTATATATATATTACCTCTCTTAAATAGCATATAATTTAATTTATTAAACATAAAACATATTAAATCGTCTATAAGTTTGCATCACTGCATATTGCTTTAATTGATATTAAATACTATTAAAAAAACAAACAAAAAATGTTTGCCAAACATGGAAATTGTACTTGGGTATCCATAGTGTATATTATACACTCTGGCACTCATAATATTTGCATATGATATCATTTGTTGTATTATTATACGCAAAGAGCGAGTGAAACCTTTTATTAAAAAATAATAACGGTATGTTTGTATAATATATTATGTGCCTATACGGTGTTCAAAACTACAGTAAATTTATATTTATTTTGCATTATCTGAGGTTACAACGTGTATGTGGTACACAAGACCAGGATAAACGTTAATCCACTTAAATTATATTATTATATAATAATAACTGATATGTTTATAAACATAATATATCGATGGATACGAATAATTAACTTCGTAAAACTTATTTACGAACCAAAGTCAATTTTCATCACTCGTATAATACTACAAGCAGTATATTGTATATCGATACAGCTGAAGGTTTATGAATAATTATAATAATAAATCGCGATAAATTAAAAATCATAGCAATCATTATAGATTGAATAGCAGCTAAGACATGTGAGTAGGCACACGATTGGTGGGTAAAAATTAAAGCGTTTACCGAGGTAAAAATAAGCATTCTAAAATTATAATCGAGTTGTCCAATGCAGGTACAAATTTTAAAGCGTCTAGAAAAAAAATTAATTTAAGCAACGTCATCTTTATGTTATATCGTATGTATTATGTAAATATTTGCCTAAAACTATTTTGACGATTCTGTAAAAAGTTAATATTATTTTGTATACTTTATAAATTTCTAGCGCGTGTGTTATTTTTCCAAACAATATGCTACGCTTGCAACTACTTATACATATAAAACGGCGGTAAACCTACCGATGATGTTTATCTCCGTACATAAGTGCAAAGTTAATAACAACACGCCTGGAAAAAAATTTCGAATTTCAGCCGCAGACGAGTTATATTAATAATAACCGTAGAGTAAGAAAACTAATAAAAAGTCTACAAGTTTATTTTATGTATCGCACGACGATAAGTCGATAGACATAATAAGTAGCTGACAGCCGAGGAATGTTTAATTAGTGTTCCAAAAAAGTTTTACTTCCGAGCATTATATAGAACGGGATTTATCTTCATATTTATCCGCATTATAATATTCTAATAGAGTACCTGCTGGTGGGTAGGCGAGTTTAAAAAAAATACCGTGTACAGAACATTAACATACCAGCTACATAAAAAACAGGTATATAGGCTGAACTCTAACTTTTTTTAATATTCAAGCGCCATAAATACATGACACGATATCATTGTATCAAATTTTTTATATATAAAAAAAAAAAAATAATATCATATTTATCTGTATAGCACAGTGTTTCCCAACCTTTTTACCACCACGGACCACTTCCACAATATTTTATAGGTCGCGGACCACCTCAATTTTACACAAACTAGGAAGACCTTTTTTTTTTTTTTTTGCTCATTAACAAGAATACACAAAATTTATTGAAAATTTTTTATTATTTTACTGTACTATTATATATAATTATTTAATTATTAAACTTTACTAATAATTTACTTAGTGTGATTTTTGTGGCTGCATTTCTTTGACCAGTTTTTCAATTCTCGGATGAATGTTGCTAATGGCTAAACGCATGTCGTCACTTACGTCCAAGCGATTTCTCTGTTTATTTTTGATCACAAGTAGACTGGAAAATCCTTGTTCACACAAATACGTAGTTGAAAATACTACTAAATAACGTAAGGCAATTTCCCGTAGTTGAATATGTAATGTTGCCCTTCTGCACCAAAATTCCTCAAGGTTCATACCAGAATCAAACATATTTTTGCAGTCAGAGTCATTTTGCAGTTTTAATAGAAAACTAAGAAAGGTACCGCGGACCACCTATGACTGGCCCACGGACCACCGGTGGTCCGCGGACCACCGGTTGGGAAACACTGGTATAGCATCATTGAATACGTATTAGTGAAATGATGTATTTTACATAACAAAAAGGGTGTGAAAAGGTATGCATAATGGTTTCCCGTGCAAATGGATTTTTTGCGATATTTTGTAAAAAGAGAAAAAAAGGGATATTGAATTATATTCTATTTTCGACGTTTGCGGGTACATCATATACACATTAAACGCACAAAACATGCTTTTCGCTCACCGAGGAAATATTTTTATTTGTACTATTGGAAACCTGGTGCGATGTGATTTATTCAAGCGTTTGTTTCTGCACATGACAAATTAATCCAAAAAAATAGCTTGGGGCTAAAGTTAAACTAATATGTTGCAATAATAATAATATCGTTTTTGGTAAAAATGGTTCGACAATTGATTGAATATTAATAATAACAATAATATTAATAATATTTTTTATTTATATCACGTATAATTTATTTAATCAATGGTTCGGCTATTGTGTAGTTGTTATATTTTTTAGATTCCATCAACGCGTACAACCTAATACCTATCTCAAATCGTTTTTTCTTAGAGGATGTGACATGCCATTTTAGACTTTTAGAGGTTCAATATAAGATATTTTAATGCAATTAAAAAAAAAACAAAACCGAAACTACAGTTTTTAGATATTATATTGATAAATAAATTTTAAGTAACGTATAAGTGAGTATCATGCAGCCAGTATTCCTTTGATAGTTACTTGAGAAATCACGAAATACAGTTCAGCAGTTTAGCCAGGAAAAAAACCGAGACCGCTATGGCTATAGTAAGATAAGATATCACATTTTCACTAAAGACAAAACTCTAAATGTTCAACATTGTTTTTATATTTTTGATACCAAGGTTGTAGAAAAAGTTATTGAAGTTCGAAAGACTTGAGAAAAATAAAGAATTTTTAAGCAATAATGACGTTTTTATTGATATCAAAAAAATATCAGCGATATTCCAAGATCAAAGTTCTACTCTTTGTGTGGTAAAATAGTGGTTTTTCAATAAGACTAGGTATACGAGTATAGTCTGAGTGGTTAAACGCATTTTAACAAACGATTTCCAGACGTGTAGTGTTCTTTGAAAGAATACCTACTCATCGACGCAATAAATAGGTACCCATCTATGTCGAATAAGAGCTTATTGCGTAAGCAATTTACCAAAACGTATACTTTATGAATCGGCATTTTGACATTTAGTTAAATATCTGTGATAACCTTTTAAATCACTATTATTGATAAATTTTAAGATGGTAATATTTTTCAGATAATTTCGTATTTTTATAATATTGTCCAATGAAAAAGTCAATGCGTTTTGCATTTTCTAATAATATAATACAACCTACCGTTGGACAATGAGTATAACTAAAAGCATATAATATACTAGTACGATACATTCTCTCAAAAATATTTCCCTCATTTTCTAGGTAATAGATGTTTAAGCTCCGGTATTGACCTATGTATTATAAAAGTCGCCGCTGTGTAAGCCCGATGGACAGATAAATATGAGCAGGAACAGAATCTCTTAACACAGTCCCATACTATTCGTTTCGAATTTCAAGTCGACGACGACAAACACGATAACACACGCGTCGTATAATATTATTATTTACAGGCGCAGACCGAAATTCTTTTATTATTATTATTATTATTATAATTATTATGATGTCCATAACCGGCACGCCATCCTATCGTTTTCAGACGCCGGTATCGATTGCTTCAAGTGCGTTTCACTGGAATGGCAGAACCGTGCGTGCGACGATCCGTTCCACAACAATTTCAGCTCGGGACTTTTGGAGTCGCCGTGCATGGGTGGGCGGAAAGGCCGCAACGGTTTGTTTCCGGCTACAGCGTGCATCAAGCTCACCGGTTACTACAGTGAGTATTTTTATATAGTACTCTATTATGACGGAATGTCACGACACGAAATCATATTACTTATTACTCGTGGCTGCTCTTGGGTTATTGTACCCTGCCCTCCTCAAAAAAAAAAAAAATAAATGAATCAGAATATTCCGTTTCAATGTTCCATCGTGTAGTTTAAAATAAATATATAGGTTGGTATCAAAAATATACAAAAAACAAATTACTCTTCTTCCTATGTCATCTGATAAATGATGGTGAAATAAGGCTTACAATATATTTTAGTATTTTGTAGAGCAGAAAAATTTATTTATTTTGTATCCTTTTGCCCGGGTAAATATTCAGAAAGATAGCAGGAGTCGAGCATGACCAATGAGTTCCGGAGGGCCCCTTTTGTTTCTCCTTTTCGCCGGTGGCCGCAATCACTTGGTTTCACAATCTACGGTTTGCATATGATTTGACGACGAGATTGATATATTATTTAAGTGACCTATATTTATTTTAAATTTGTTATTAAAGATGATAAAGATAGTAAAGAATATGATATTTGCTTTTGATTTTTTTTTAGAGGGGGAAGGGGCATCGTAATATTATTATAAAGTATAGTCTACAGGGAATCAACTTATATACAATTGTCCTGTAAAGTATATAAGTATTACTTGTCACACGGCTACTCGAAAATTGACTCCAAAACGAAACTAAACTTTTAGAACTACGTATTATTCCGAAACTGGCCAATAGTAGAAAGCAGAGCATCATCAATTGTACCATGTCAGTGTGGCTTTTTTACGATTTTCCAGGAATTTTCAAAGCAATTTATTTTCATTCCCACTATTATTTTATTATTATTTAATTTATCTAATAGCAGATATTTCGATTCAAGACTAAAATATTTGTTATTTTTACATATTTACAAACATTTATTTTCCCGGATTGCTTGAATACAAAACTATCACATTTGGATTTGTGACAGTCTTGCACTTACTATGAATTGTACTCAATCACGTCAAATCACAAACGTTCTTGATGTCTTGTCGTTTTCTATACCACAATTTCCACTCACGTTTTTTGTTTACTCACGAACTTTGCATCGGTGTTTCTCTAAACCATATATTTTGAATTGTAGACCGTCTTCTTCTAGGTCTGCGCTGTATTATTCATATTATAGTGGAGTGAAATTGTAATATTATTTATTTTTTAGAAAGTACCGGACAGCACGTTACAGTTAGAGGATGTGCATTGGATAGCGGCACCTTGACCACAGACACAGAAATTATTCGGATGTCGCATTGCGGAGGATTCTATTTCGATGACAAGTAAGAATTCAAATTTTCTTATATAAAATGAAGATGTCTCGAGGATATTAGCTGAGCATGCCAATTGCCAACTCACTTTTATCATTCAAATTCTGATTTTTTGGAAAAAATGAGGTCCATTATGTTTGGAAAGGTACCCTGTATATATTATAATGTACTTTGTAATAAATATTACCTAAGCTAACCTAACCGATTTATAAGAGATGAGCCCGAGTCGGTTGGTCGGTTGGTCGATTGTTTTTTTTTTAAACTGAGCAAAAAATAGTTTACAATGTATTCCCCTCATACACTTTTTTGGAAATTGCTATAATATAGAAAAAAACGATTTAATAATGAAATAGAAAAATGAAGTCAACCAATAAGCCATCAAAAAATAGCTTGATTTTAAAACTGTTTTTCTTGATGGCCTTAACGCAAAAAATAAGGATGGAAAATGTTATCTGTTGAATAAAACTATGGTTATTATAACCTATAACATATTAATATTTTTCAGCGCGGTTTTGGTCAGTTATTATTTCATATTGGAGAATCATAATATTATTAAAACGTATAACATTTTGTTTTTGTTTTCCCGAACTCAAAGTAAAAATAAATAACTTATATAAAAACGTTGTTTTCTATTATTTTTTTTTTTATTTAGAGCTAGAGATAACCAATTTACACAGGGTTGATTTATGTAAATACCTTAAAAGTTTGATTACTAATTTGACTTGAATATTCAAACAGTCGAGTATACGTTTGTTTGGAGTGTAAGAGTGTTCTGTCCAGCTAGTTTTGCTCATTATTCTTCTGTAATATTCCCGTTCGGATTCACGAACTTATTAATATTTCATTTTCTATTTTTCCTGCAATCCCACTCCGGCCAAATGGAGACTTAAGTTTTCAATCGATTTTCCTCCGCTCTTAATTTAATACATTTTTTTTTCGAACACGAATCGCGCATTTTCCTCGGTTTATTATACTTATTTTTTTCTTTTGTGCGTCACCAGCCACCGTGATACTCATTCGCCGACTCGATTTCCTGGCTTCCTACAATAGAGGTATAGTCAAATTCATTTGCTCGCTTCAGCATACGGTAGACGGTGTTTTGTTGTTGCATATTATTATAATACTCTATATTGCGATTGGTGACCAAGGACGAGGCCATATTTTTCGCGTCTCTCGTATATTGTACACCGTATTGTTTTCGTACTTCGTTCCCGTTTTGATGTTATTGTTACGTCATCCGTAAATGGAAGGAAGTTCGTCGTACCGTGACGGTATCAATCAGTCAGTCCATCAGTATTCGAATGTCGATTGTCTGGTTCTGTATAGTGTATGAAATATATAAAAAATAAAAGCATATATTATCTATTGTCTTATTTCAAATTATTAAACTTTTATTTTAACTCGGAGAATATTTCGTTTGCAATAATATAATTTCAAATTTAGTGACAAAAAGATGATGGTGGGGTGTACTTTCGTCTTTCAAAACCTTATTTAGAATGACTATAATACATCTGATCGTTGGTACAATACGGACTTCTTCGGCATCCCTATTTTACCTCACTTGCAGGTTGTACATCACAGCATTATAAGTTATTCCACCTGCGTCCGTTTTTAACAGTCTGGATTAATTAGGATTATTATTTGGAAATGTGCGCATTTTCACAATGTATTCCACACAAAAACAACGAATTCGTGTAATCGACAGGGTCCGAGGTAGTTTACACGGATATCCGTTGTTCGTATGAATAGGCCGTGGAATACAATAAAATAATATGATAAAACTAATTAATCAATGGGATTAGCACGGATAATATATCATAATATGAATGTCCTGTCGTTTTAATAAAAATATTTAATACTGAAACTCGGTACTGACGATTGCCGCTAGTCCTGAAGCGTACTCTACTCAAGATGTCAAAGTTATATCTATATGTCTGTTACATTAGTCGTCAACACAAAATTAAAATAAAATAATAATAATATTGTTTAAAGGCTTTTGATATGTATATTGTATAATATATAAGATATGTTGTGCATATATACTCATGAGGTTCAAAGTTGAGTTATATTTAATTTTTTAACTTCACTTTTTGCATTTAATTGTTTTAGCTAAATGTTTAATTTAATTGATTTCTAATGATATAAACTTAATAAACATCGAGTAACTATTACTCAAACCATGATACGTGTATTCATACACAATTATATAATACAATTATTATTGACTATACATAATATAAAACAAATAACGTAATCTTAAAATTTGCATCTTTTAGCCTTCATAGTCAGAATCGTTCATAAAAAATAACTTATTTTAACATAAACATGTTTTTGGAGTGGCTAAAATGTTATTTTTTGACCGATTTTTGTAACTCTCATAACATTAATTATTGTTGCCATAGTAACGTTTCCTCTAAATACATATTTATGATTCATAGATTTTCCTTGCATACCAAAAATTGCGTGCTAAGTTTTACCAACCTACTAATTTTGAAACCATATGATGGTATGCGGACATCTATTTTAAACCATCCATTGGCTATAGTTAAATTTACAAAAAACAAATTAATTCAACTTAAGATAGGTAGTACATTTTGGTGGTTTATACACAATACTGTTGACTTAATAACGAGTAAAAAAAAAATTATTAATCATTCAACTCTTTTTTTCAACTTTTTTCGATTTTTTTCAACTTTATTCGGTTAAAAAATATCATCAACTTGCCCAGCCTCGGATTGAAGATTGAAATAATGGTCGGCCAAACCTTAAGTGGTGTTTCGTGCAAAACTCAAATTCGTGAGCCGCGACACATCGGCTATACGAAACGTTTTCGTTGTAATATTAAAGCGAGCTCCAGAATAAAATATAAGTAGGGCGGCGCATATTAGTCTGTGTTTGCCTACGAAACGACCGCGTTATATCCGCCATTGCACCTCGCGGTCGGTGCATACAATATACACACCATGCGTATATTATATAAGTTGTAATCGTATACCGTCTGACGGTCTGCAAGTCATGTTTTATTTATTTTTATTAAATTCGATGGCATGTGTGCTCAGGACTTTACACAGCCGGTGTATAATATTATTATGACACACAAATGCAGTATATGTGTACGGTTTTTTTTTTTTTTTTGTTACTAGGTACGTCGACGGCTGTTTGCAGAGTTGTGACGACGCGGACGGTTGCAACCCCGCATCGCCGCCCAAGTCTCTGGACATGACGCTGCTGATGATGTTGGTCGTGATGCCGCTCGTCGTCCGTTTCATGCCGCACGAATGGGCGCCGGACGCGTGACGACTGCTCGTGCGCCAACCCAATACCGCATAGGTGTATATTTTTTTTTGGAAAAAAAAAACATTCGTTCGAGGTCATTCTGGCGCGTTTTCTAGCGACGAGACCGAGGGCAAACACGCGACGATCAATTAAACGGGGTGCCTTGTACATAATATACGTATACGATGCAATGACATAACGCCGCCATGAACATCAAATTTCCACCCCCTCCCCACCAACCGCCCACGAAAACCCGTACGATACAATATCCCGTCATTATACTGCCTCCCTTCACTGACCAAATACAAGGAAACGGACGTCGAGTGTTTGTATTCAACTTGTAACGTGCTTTTCGCGTGAATTGTTAATTATTATGATTATTATTATTCATTAATTATAATTATAGATTATAATATAATATATATTGTAACGATTTATGTAACATGACATATCCCAGTTAAGCATATCTTACTGACGAAACTATATTTCCATTTAAAAACACTATTATTACATTATGTAGATGATATTATTATATTACGATAATAAAAAAAAAAAAAAACGAAATCATATATATTATATACTATTGTAAACATTCTATACAAAATATATAATATACGATATACGTCGTATATATTATATATAGATGACAGTTACGTGTCGGACTTATTAAACAATTTGATTGTATTGCTGTATTGTAATTTTATTCCACTTTTTGTCACTTCTTCGAACTTATAGTAACGGCTCTTGTTTACATTTGTTTTTTTTATCCATTATATTAAAATGTCGATAAAGGGTAAGTATTAGTGAATATTTTATATTAACGTCTACTCAAAGTGATTCTTTTGAAAGTAAACACTCGTTTTGTCGAAAAGTATAAACGTTTCTGGAAATATTTGTTCTTAAGTACCTACATAGTTCGAAGTCATTATAAACTACATTAAAAAAAAATTTTTTCTTATTATTACTATTTTTATAATTACTGTTTTTTAACTTTTATCCACTTATTGATGATAGCAAACATTTACTGTAGGTACATAATTTTATACTTCAGAGCCACCTTAACAGAATTTAAGAATTTCAATGCATAAAAATGGAATTTCCAACGAGTAGTTAATTAGGTAGTTAAATTGTATAAACTTACAACTTATAACTTATAACTACTGATAAATATATTTTAAAATTTTGATGACTTAAAACAGACTTTTGAAGTATTTATTTTAGTCTACTGCAATGTTTGGCTCATCTAAACTTTAAAATGGGTAGGTATAACTTATAGCTAGCAATCTAATCGTTTAAAATTTAATTTGTATACATTACAATTTTCAGAAAAATATTTTGATTTATTTTGACCTACCTGTCTATCGTCCAAACCCTTCAAGAATTATAAAGATAAAAAAACAATGATACGTATATAAAGTATTTTTTCGAAAATGACGTTTCGTAACGACTTCAAATTATGTTTAAAAAAAAAAACATGTACCTATTTTTTTTAAATCTGTTAATTTATATACTCTTCGATATAATATTCTATGTTCAAAGAACCACCTTCTATATAAATAGTCCACGTGACATGGCCGTGCGGAATGCCAAGCTACAAATTTGTCACTATTTTCTGAAAATTAACTGTCGTGCAAAAAACGTTAACCCCGAATCGAACGTGTACCGCAAAATTTATACCATAAATATTTATTGTAGTTTACCGAGTGAAACGACTGTGTGTGCATATACACCTACCTCTCTCCGTGTAATATATAATGTAGCTCGTTCCGTGTGACGGCATTGCGTGCGTCGAAGACGAGGCGGAGCCGAATTTCTGAATGGATTTTTCTCGACGTATATAACGGCCAAAGGTAAAACACCACCGAGGGTTGAACACAATTTAGGTCAAAACCGTGGTTAAAGTTTCGACGGCGTACGCGAGTAACAGTTTTATTAGCACGGATAGTTTTGTAAAAAAAAAAAGAAAAAAGATTTGAATATAATATAATATACATTTGAATATTGATTGACAACAATAATTGCGGGAGGTTGAAACGAAACGCGAGCGTATACCGTTGGAAAATAAATGCGTTTTGTATTTCGACCGTAGTTATATTGATTTATTATTATTATTAATATTATTCATATAACTCTTTTAACTGAAGTCTTCGACGTGATTTCATATCATACACATTTTAATCATTTCGTTGTTTTTCACGTTCGTAATGACCAAAAGCAGCTGCTGAGAAAGGAATGAATGTATAGAGCGAACTCTGTAATAAAATAACTTCGCATTTGCCACACAACTCGCAGCAGGTAAGTCATCGTGGTTCATCCATTTTCCTTATATTATTAATACCTACCTACCTACCCACCCATGTGGCATATATGCCACGGTGTCGTGTGGGTTTCCAAAGTCTTGGTATATATATATGTATATGGGTAAGCGTTATACGCACGTATAATTTATAGTGGTCGATATCGAGAATAAGGGCTCGCCGACCACCCCCTCCGTGGACAAAACGAAACACGATTTCGGAAAACAATATTATATTTCTATAATAGTTATTTATCGATCGCGGAAAATTGATGTCGTCGGCCTTCCTGAAATATGTGTGTTTACGCAGTGATTCCGAGAGCTAATGTGGTTCAATCAGAACGAGGCATATAGGTACTTTCGGACTTTCCAAACCTTATTGACGTCTCGAAATTCTCGGTAATAATATAATATTGAATATAAAAATTCTGCTTCAGACGCGCCGCAACACTTGATTGGTTTTTGGTACCTCGACATTTTTAATAACTCGAATTTTTTTCTTTCCCCTTGAACTCTGAGTTATCGACGAGGGTCGAACGAGTATATATTTAATGCAATAATATTATTGATTTTCAATAATATCATTATGATACGTACACATCACAGAATCATAACAGACCTACAAAATTGATTTATTTTTTAATTGAACCGAGGTAAATAATAATAATATTTGTGATTCATATTCATTTGGTCGTTGGACATTTTTAATTACGCGGGTTACCTACTGTTTTATCGTTTTTATAATTATAATTTTTTTCATCACATTTTATTTTTTTTATAGGATATTACAGTATCGAAATTTGGTTTGGAAATACCCGCAACCTAATAGCTGGTGGGTAGAGTTTAAATTCGCAAATAGTAAATTATTTTAAAATGTTTATAATATGTGCATTAATATTATTCGTCATACTAATTATAATTATAGGATTATCTTTAAAATGTATTCTTTCGGTTTACATTTTAAATTATTGTCATTCACATAATATAGTTTAAGTGCTGAGAATACGTAAATATTTTTTAGTTGTTTGAAATTTCATCAAACATAGCATATCAAAATTAGTTACTATAGGTGTCTCCTTAAAAATATACGGAACATTATAATTACCTATGTAATAGTATCTGTTGCATAATGCATAGTGAGGTTAAAGCAAACTTGATTTACTAAAATATATTATCATTCATCAATATTGGAATATAAATAACGTGTTGAACATATCAAATATGATTTAATATTATTTTTAAAAAAAAAGTACAAGAACATTTTAAAAAAAATTTAATGATCATAATGTAACTGATTAAACGCAATTCGAAAACAAAAATACATGCTCATCCCTATCCACTTATAAAGGTAGGAATGTCTCAGCCCAATTCTACTTTAAGCAATTAAATTAAAAATGTATAATAATGTATAAGGACTGTCAGTGGCAGTTTTAAAGATGATCGCAATAATCTTCGCTTTACCAAATTGTTCACAAAAGATATTGTTTAATTGATAAATCGACTATGAATTTTGTCATCGCTATTACACTTTTCAGTTACACGTTCAATCGGATTATATTAATGAAGTGCATCATTAAAAATATTTCTAGACGATTGTACACAACGGTTATTTCAGTGTTCAACAAAATATGGCAAGCGTTCAAAATAACTCAATCCATCATGGCGCGAAATAAATATAAATGAGAAAAGACTCCGGAGACAAGCTAAAAGGTGCGAACACCGTACTTAGCCAACTCGGCACGAACAACGGATTTTTTTTCGTTTCACGTGTTTTTGCTCGACTTAACATATTTTGTTCGATCTCACGAAAAACAATAAAAAAATAAAGTTTGGTTCGTCTTTGAACACGAAATTCTTCGCAATATTGTGCGTTTGCGTTCGATAAAATAACATAATACACACAACACTGAACAGCGAAACACATTTTATTGTGCGACCGTAATTTCACTTCGCTCGAATCATGCCGAGATTTATGTATCGCGAGAATTCATTTTCCGCTGATCGATCGAGCGACGAAATTGAAACCAGCATCATCATAAGATAACAGAAACCATACGCCAACTCTCACGCCAGACAAAACCATCAATCGGTCGATGAATTCATTAGACAATGGATATTCCGGTGATATCTTGGCAAACCCCTCCTCCCACCGTCTCTTTGAACGATATCCTCCGGTGAATTCTTACTTGATATGATTTCCACTGGAGTAATGTACGTCTCCGGGTAGACAATATTGTTATAATATTCTGTAGGGAAATTTGGGGGAAGAGAGAGAGAGAGAGGTACAATTATTCACTAGTACTTTTTTATCGGTGGAGAAAATTCATCGGCTACATATTTTACAGAGGTTGCAAGTTCACCGGTAGAGGGGTGGAGATAACCTCGCCAACGCCGGAGAGCACATTTTAGCGCAGTAATTATTATGTATTTTAATTTATCGGCGGTTTTGGTCGTCGTCGTTATTAGTCCAATGTTGTATCCAAAAACAATAGCGAATTCGAGGCTTTATAGGTACCTCTACCTCATATTGATTCTTCGCCGGAATACAATCAACCCGATTTCCAATCTATTGGGCCGTGTTTGCGTAATTGCCCATAAAATCAGTTACTCGACCAAAAAACTCGTTGTTGTTTTTTATGTACAAACAATTTAAAAATAAAGGCAGCCCGAGGTCAGACGTCAGAGTCGGAAACAAATTAAGTTTCTTTTTTATATTAAAAGTCTATGTTGCCCATTCGATCGAATAATCGGAATAAAAAAAATGCGTTAAAAAATATTGTCGGATATAATATGCGAACAATACGTTGTTAAGACTGACACACGAATAAAATTCAACGAATGTGACAATCTGTTTGTTCTATAAACGACACAATATAATATTTTATCGACCAAACCAAGGGAACATATAGCTTTGGCAATTTTGTAAATTACACGTAACATGATAGTTGTATAGGTATACCTTCTATATATTATACCTAATATAACGATGAAAATAAGGAAGATATGA